CATTAGATTTCTTCAGGTTTTTCCTGAAGTTAACTGAGCAGTATGCTCTTACTGCTATTCTTTGTTAATGTTTGAGAAAATACTACGAACTTATAAAATATTGCAGGCAAGAGCAGAGCCAAAGCTTAATGGACTGGAGCATATGCTCTGCCTGCAGGATTCCTGGGCTTGATTCCTTGAGCTGCATGCTGTCCCAGGCACAGCCCCCCGACCCCCCAGAGTACCATGAGTGAAGTAGCTGCTGAGCATCATTAGGTGTGGATACCCCAAATATATTACTGGCAAGTTGTATTTTATGACTGAAATATGACAGTCTGGGATTTTGTTCCATTCTTACCTTCTTTTCAGAGACAATTTTTCCTTCACCAGTACTACAAGCCCATACATACCAGACTACTCAGTATCATGAAGATTCACAGGATCTTAAGTGAATAGGTTGCAAAGATCTTATGAATATACCCTGTTTACTAGCTAACTTTGTTATTTTAGATTTTACTGTAGGGCAAACAATTCCCAGTGGGTAGAATGTGGGTCAAGGTGGCAGATAATGGTTGTTTGTTTTCCCATCAGACAGAATTTTAATTAGCTTATTTATGTCAATTTCATGATCTTTGGTTCTGTAATTTTTGCTTTATAATTATACTAAAAGAATCTCAGTACATAATTGAGGCATATATTTATCATCCTAATCATGTCTGCTGTGCTCTTTCATTCAGCGACTTGCTAATAGTTTAATCAAGTCCTTTGAACTCCATATTCTGTTCAGAGGACTTTGTTTGAAACTCCATTTTATCTAACCTATTTAACTAGGAAAAAATTCTTGCTCTGATCATCACCATTATTGGTTCTTCTAGGGCCTTTTCTAAGGACCCTCATCTTTCCTCTTTTATTAAGCCTTTCTTAAAAAATGTTAATTTGGAATGACTTCTCTTACAGCATTAATAAGTGATTTGGTAATTTTGCTTTACTCTTACACAAATTTTGATTTATACAGATTATAAAGCCAAGGTACTTTTTTGCCTATGTGTATTTTGGTTCTCTTTCGTCAGTATTTAACTGTTTTGCTTTTCAAATAATTGAAAGTGATATACTTGTGTAATGTTAAAAGATAAAGATTTTGAAGATAGATGAAGTTTGGTTGCACTTTGAGCAGAAAGAACAAAGAATTGGAAACTAAGATACAGAGTTGGTAGCTGCAATTAGAAAATTATAAATAATGTGCATCAAGGTAATATTCACATTTCATTGGAGTAGATATTATAGTACATCATTTCAGAATTCTGATAGAACAAGTGTTTTAAAATAGTAAAAAGCCTTGGAGTACAAACTGGGCTATTACATATGCATTATATATCAATGTATATGTATTTAGACCTATAAAGTTTGAATAGTTTTAGAATAGTTTAATAATGACTTCCAAACTATCTAATATATTAATATTTTCATGTCTTAAAAATGTAGAACTGAATATTATGGAGCATTCTGTTAATTTTATTAACTCATAAATCATGAGTGTTCACAGTGGCATCTAGCATGGTCAGTCCTTTCTCGGTTTCCAGTTGGCTACCTGGATATATTAAAGACAGCAACAGAAAGCTGTGGCAACTATAACTTAATGAAATGTGTTTCTTAATTAAGAAGAAAATCATAAGTGACTCCGATCCATGGGCTACAGAATGTTTATTGTGTTAGCAGGTATGAAAGAAACATTCAAACTGGGGAGAGCATGACAAGGTTAAACAAGGTTAAGCATGCAATGTGTATTTGTCTTGAATGAAATTGATCTGGTGGAATCCCCAGTACTGGGTATGGTCCCCTCAACACCTTCAGGAGAACCTCTGAGCCCAGATCCAGGAATAATTCCTGAACACGTGTCTTTGTCTGTGTCCCCCCCTCAACACCACCTTGCAGAAGATAGCGTTGACCTCCTGTGCATCATTATCAGAGTTTGGGGCTGACTGAGAACTTGGCAGGGACTAGAAATATTTTGAAAGGAATCCTTTCTGAGCAGTGAATGTAAACAGTGCTAAAAGTATTTAGCAAACCTTGTAGAAAAACAGATGTGTTGTCATCTAGCTGTGGGCAGAGTAGAGCTACAGCACGTTAAATCCGACATATTTTCTTTCTGTATAAGAATATTTTACTTATGGGGCTGGAGCGATAGCACAGCGGTAGGGCATTCGCCTTACAAGCGGCCAACATGGCCGACCCGAGTTCGATCCCTCCGCCCCTCTCGGAGAGCCCGGCAAGCTACCGAGAGTATTCGATATGCCAGACACAGTAACAACAAAGTCTCCAATGGAGACGTTACTGGGCCCGCTCGAGCAAATCGACGATCAACGGGAGGGCCTTTACCTTACCTTACCTTACTTATGTTGAAAGTCTGTTTAGTATAGCCGTCTTCGACAGTGATCTTAATGTTTTTTTTTAACCACATAATTGTCACAGAGTTTATGTCTTTCTTTTTTGCAGAAAAGTGAGGTGTAGACATTAAGTGGATCTATTTTTTTTTAATGTGCTACTTTCTGAAAAACCTGGTGTGACTGTTTTATGATGAAACAGTAATTACGTGGTATGGTAGCTGGATCTTTGGAACAGCTTGTTCAGGTTCTACTTCAGCTTCTGCTGTGTTACCATGCATTTTTCTGCTGTGGAGATAATGTCTTTCCTTAAACTTCATGATCCAGCTTCTCTATCTTCAGACTTTTCCTTTTTTGCAGCTATCTCATCTCTCATTCTTCATAGAATTAGAGAAAGCTAGAGTTCTGCTTTGAATTAGGCTTTGACTTGAAGGAGTGTTGTAGCTGACTTGATCTTCTATCCGGGCCACTAAAATTTTATACTAGCTACAGGCAGTTTCTCTTACCATTCATGTGTTAAATGTAGTAGCACTTTTTGGGCAACGGTTGGAGGCAGTGGAGCTTACCAGTATTGTTTAGGCAAATCAGTGTTCCGTCTGGAGGGACGTGCGAGGCAGTGCCATACCAGTGGTCAAAATCTGAGTGTATACTGCACATGCATTACAGTGCTTTAAGCACTCCTGGGTCCTGGAGTAGCACTTTTAATTTCTTTCAAAAACTCATTTGCAGCCACAGCTTGACTGACTGGTGCAAGAGGTCTGTCTCAGCTTTTGATGTTCCTTCCTTACTGAACTTTAATTTTATTTCTGTCTTTTGATTTAAAGTGAGAAGCATGTCAGTTGAATTACTTGGCGGCCACTGTAGGAGTAGCAACTGACTTCCTTTAATGTTGGCATTTTGTAGGGAGAGAAGATGCTTGCGGGGAGGGCTCTGGTTAAAGAATGCCAGTTTGTGAAGGTGCAGGGAGAATATACATTTATTAAGTTCTCTCTTTCTTCTTTAGTATCATTATTAGGCATCTCAGAAAATCTACAATAGTATCATCAAAAGTCACTGATCACAGATTACCGTAACAGATAAAGTGATGATGAAAGTGTTTGAAATACTGCAGAAGATAACCAAAATATGACACAGACATAAAGTGAGCACATGCTGTTGGCAAAATGGTGCTGATAAGCTTAACACAAGGGAGACATACCCTTTATCTTGGAAAGAAGATCTGCAGAGTTAAAGTGCAGTACAGTTAATGTTAATACAGGAATACCTGTGTGACAGACTCATTGCGCATATCCCGAAATCCTGTGTATTTAGTTATTTTTCCATCTTCAGAGGGAAAAAATAACAATATGACATCTGACAATCAGAAATTCTTTTAATCTATGATACAGCTGTACAGCAGGTAGGCATTTGCCTTGCACGCGGCCGACCTGGGTTCGACTCTTCCGCCTCTCTCAAAGAGCCCGGCAAGCGACCGAGAGTATCTTGCCCGCACGGCAAAGCCTGGCAAGCTACCCGTGACGTATTCGATATGCCAAAAGCAGTAACAAGTCTCACAATTTGTTGGACCCATAATCCCAGATTTCCTTAATCCAGTTAGGGATTGATATTTTAAGTTATACTTCGTTTCTTTTAAAACTGCCCCATTTTGCCTTTTCTCAGGATTCCAGGCACGCCTCTCAGGAACATCTCAACTTTAGTTTTTGCTGTCTTATATTCAGAAAGTTATTTCTTCTCCTTTTCCCCTTAGATTCCACTTCAGAATTGGCCAATCCCTGTCATAAAAGATGTATGCCCAAAATATGTGCTAACTTCTTGGGGTTTCTACTTGTCTATTCACAACCCAGATTGTTCTGTCTAGGTCATTTTCAGTGTTTTCAAATAGTCATGCTTTCAGTGTTTATTTGCATTTCCTAGTTCTTGACCAGAGGTATTGATTAAAATTTACATATTAGAAAAATTGGAAAATACTGTGACTTAATTTTTTAAACTGAATAATGACCTTCAAAAGCTCTTTTTTGGTAGCTCATGAAGCATTTTTTCCTGTGTTCATACTTTCCTGTACATGGAATTGAAGTTGGGTATTCATGGGTACCAGAAAGACACAGAGTACCAGAAAGACACCGCAGTGGTTGAATATCTAGAGTTATAGCATATATGGTAAAATTATACCTCAAGAAGATAAAATTTAGCTGTTAGAAAGCAAAATGTCTTTCAAGCTTAGTATTAATTTTGGCAATGATCTGTTTTTAACAGGAAATCAAGATTTTGATAATTTTGTTTTACTTGCATTCCTCTGGATAACCATTTATTAGAAATTTGACTATCTTGTTTGTATTAAAAATCCTCTGAGCTTATTAGGGAAAAGTTAACTAATAAAAAAGTTAAATTGTATAAAAATACAAGTATTTTCCCATAATGTATTAACTCACTTTTCATTCAGATATCAAACAAAATATTCTTTTCATCTTTGCAAAGCTTCAGAAATAACTATTTAATTCATCACTTATTCCTTTCTCTCAAAATTTATATTCTTATTTACTGATGAGAAAGATTTTTAAATTATCAAGGATTCCATGCACTTCCAAGATAGGATAACACCAATCTAAAGACTCAATTCTTTTCTGTCTTCACTGCTTACAGACAGGGAACACAATCTCTTCAGCCTGGACCTATGTAGAAGAATTTGGAGAAAATAAACAGGTAAGAAAAAGTCTGTTAGGAATGTTAAGTGATATATTTCATTTTCAGAAAGTCAGTGATTGATTTTCCAATGAAATTTTTTTAACTATTGTGGTTATTACAGGTTTGTTGATCAGAATCATTAAATTAAATTAAACAGGTTTGCATATTTTAGGCTTCTGAAAACATGCTAGTAGATATCATGACAACTAAATAGGAGAAAAATATTTTGAGATATGGAGTGGATATGTTGCATGCATATGTAAGGTAAAGGTAAGGTAAAGGCCCTCCCGTTGATCGTCGATTTGCTCGAGCGGGCCCAGTAACGTCTCCATTGGAGACCTTGTTGTTACTGTGTCTGGCATATCGAATACTCTCGGTAGCTTGCCGGGCTCTCCGAGAGGGGCGGAGGAATCGAACTCGGGTCGGCCATGTTGGCCGCGTGTAAGGCGAATGCCCTACCTGCTGTGCCATCGCTCCTAATTAGCTAGTATTTCTCAAACTTACCTGAAAATGGAATTCTTAATTTCCAACCAAAATTTACCAAAACTATTGATGTAGTTTGAAAAAAAGGTTTTACTTCACTTTTATTTTTTTTCAACCATGGTACTGAGAAGCATAAACCTAATAGGAAGTTAAATGTTTAAGTAAGAGTGATAGTAAAAATTATTGTAATCCAAATTTTCTTTCACGTGTAGAAACAAAAATAATGTGCCTCTCAGAGTAGCCAACATTTTACTAACAATACACTCTTAAGGTCTTTGTCCCTTCTCTGTGCCTCATTGGTTTTTGGTTTTTTTTTTTTTTTTTTTTTGCTATTTGGGTCATACCCAGCGATGCATAGAGGTTACTCCTGGCTCGTGCACTCAGGAATTACTCCTGGTGGTGCTTGGGGGACCATATGGGATGCTGGGAATCGAATCTGGGTTGGCCACGTGCAAGGCAAACGCTCTACCCTCTGTGCTATTGTTCCAGCCCCTGTGCCTCATTGTTGAAGAGGAAAATACTGTCTTGTAAGACTAAAATTTAAATAGTGCTCATTTTATTGTAGTTGTTTTTGACACACAGTATGTACACCACACATATTTACTGCATATGTTATATACAAAGGGATATACTGTGGGACATAACTAGCTTACAGATACAAATGTCATGTGCTTTTATTTAATTTCCAACTTTTATGTAGTTTGTTTTGGAACAAGGATTGCTATTTCTGATCAAAGTGAAACTTGAAGAGACGCTCTCTCTCATACAAGGCTCTTCTCTTTACCTTTTCCTAGTGAGTTAACATTCTTAAGCTGTTATAAATCCTAGAATGCTGCAGTTTGGGTCATAAAATTTCCTTCGTACACTATGCTTCTCTATTAATCTCTTGCCAGATAGTTTAGAAACTAGCTAAAAAACGATTCTCACATTAATCTCAGTTTAAAGGCAGGAGACTAGATAGGCTTGGTCTCAAGTTCTTTGAAAGGAAAGTACATCTAGGCATAATATCAGTACAGATTGTTAGATAATTGTCTTGTATTTGGTCCTCTGAGTCCTTTTTTCTTTGTTGTGAAGACATTTGAATTTTAATAGCTGTGTTTAGTATAGTTTTAAAATAATTTCACTGTTTAGTTTTTAATGTTTTCCCATTACACAGTATCCTCATTAATATTTCCTTACAAACTGAGTTTCAAAGCCCAGTGAAATAACTAAGGTCAAAAAAGTTTGGGAAAAATTGAGTACTACATAATCCCCTCGAGGAAAAACAATGCATTTTATCATATTTGAAAATTTTACTAGTAACTTGTTTGTTGTAATCTTTTTATTTTTTGTTGTAATTTAAAAAATTTTTTTAATAAATATTTTACAAAATTTTTAACCCAAGTTCTTGTTTTGAGGAACTTATGGGAATTATATGGGACGTAGTTTTGGAAGCCCAAGGAAGCAGGAGTTTTTAGATAAACATTTAATTGGGTATATTAAAGTATAATAAGATACACCATTTTATGATTTCTGTGTATACCTGTGAAAATGTCAATAGTCAAAAAAGTAGACATTTTCTTTACCCAAAAAATTGCTGCATGCCCCTTTGCAATTCATCTTTCCCTCACTTTTTTTTTAAAAATAATTTTATTTGTTGAATCACCGTGAGAGCAGTTACAAAGCTTTCAGGTCTAAATCTTGGTCATACAGTGAAAAACCCGTACCTTGACCAGTGCCCATTCTCCACCCTCAGCAACCCTAGTATACCCCCATCCCACACCCTCCCCCTACCTGTGGGGCAGATGATTTCCATATTACTCTCTACTTTGGGCTGGAGCGATAGCACAGTGGTAGGGCGTTTGCCTTGCACGCAGCCAACATGGCCAACCAGAGTTCGATTCCTCCGCCCCTCTTGGAGAGTCCAGCAAGCTACCGAGAGTATCTCGCCCGCGCGGCAGAGCCTGACAAGCTACCCGTGATGTATTCGATATGCCACACACAGTAATAACAAAGTCTCCAATGGAGACGTTACTGGGCCCACTCTAGCAAATCGATGAACAACTGGAGGACAGTGACAGTGACAGACTCTCTACTTTGATCACATTCAATATTTTGACACCAGACCCACCATTATTATTTGAGATTTTACCCCAACACTCAGATCTGCTGAAAAGGCAACAGTAGACAATTTGTTTTCTATTGCTGTTTATGAATAACATATGTCGCGTGGCTGCAGTAGTGGCCGTGTGATTTTGAAATTCCGAAATTTTAACACTTAAATCTGGAAGGATTTCTGCCAAAACTTGCTGGGTTCCGAGATTTGCTCCTGAGTCTCTGGGATTATGGCTGTTAAGCAGCTTGATCAGGAGCCAGAAAGGCTGTTCATGGGCGATGACTTGGGGTCTCGTTGGGGTGGGGAGGACAGGACCGCCTCCACCCCCAACCTGTGAGTCCCTGCGTGTCTCATCACTGCAGGCCCAAACCAGACTGTTCAATGGTCTCCCTCATTTCTTTCCCAGGAAACCACTGAGCTGATTATGCTCTTCATAAATTTCTTTACATTTTCTGAATTTCAAACCCTTGTTTTTGAAGGTTTAAATTAAAAGATACATTATAATGAAATGGTTAGTTTCTTAAATAGGACATTTATGAATATTGTTTTATGTAAAGTTCATGATTAGAATATGAAATACAAATAGTTCTTTCAAAGTATTTTGGAAAATATAAATATAAAATAATATAATAGGCTAGGGATGTGGCTGAAAGTGTAATTGAAAGTTACTATAAATTACAAAAATCTTTATAGCTGGCCTCTTGATTTGTTGTATTTGGATTGAATGTACAAAATAATAAGTCTTAACCTTTATATTCTATTATAGATGATTCTTTGGGGGGCTTGGGGTCCACACCTGGCAGTGCTCAGGGATCACTCCTGACTGACTCTGGGGACCTTATGGGTGCTGGGGATTGAACCAAGGTCAGCCACATGCAAGGCAAGCACCGTCCCTGCTGTACTACAATCCAACCCCCTATAGATTTTTTTTTAATTTATAACTGATAAAAGCGAAACTTGAAGAGATGCTCTCTTTCATACAAGGCTGTTCTCTTCACTTTGTCCTAGTGAGTTATATTCTTGGTATATGCCAGCCACATGTTATATTCTTGGTGTTCAGTGCTATTAAGACATGTTTTTACCTATGAAGTTGTTTCAGTTGGATGTTTCTGAGTTATGTCTATTGACTTAGAAATTGAAACATTAAAATGAATTTAGGAAATGAAATTCCAAAAAACACTTTAAGTTACAAAGTTCCTAAAATGTATTTCATAGTTTAAAATGAAATCATCATAGCATTTTAGGTTCAAATATAAAATGTTATAGCAGTTTTAAAAAGTAGTTTGGTAGTTTAACCTCAGAAAAGTGAAATATGGAGTTACCATCTTATCCAGTAATTTCATTCCATGTATTTACCACGATAATTGAAAACATATATCCACCATATCCCAGACTTTATAGACATTATTCATTAGGAACATTAGTCATGATAAACTGGTGGAGACAGCTTAAATGTCAGTTGACTGATGTATAAATGAAATATTAACCATACAATGGCCTACTGTTCAGCCATATAATGGAATGAAGGTCTGGTGCATCTTATCAACATGTATAAATCTTGAAACATTGTGCTATGAAGACCTTTTATATTGTAAGATTTCATTTTATATGAAAAATTCTGAACAGGCAAATATATATTAACCAGGAAAATTAGTGATGCTGGGACTGCCAGAGAAAATATGGGAAGCGACTGTTCCTAGGGCCAGTGTTTGTTTCAGGTGATACACGGATAAAGAAGATGTGTATAGAGGTATTTGTATTATATAATTTTATAAACACACAATGAAATATTTATTAGCCATTAAAGAAAGAAATCCCACCCTTTACATATTAATGGAACTAGAGGATGTATGCTTGTTAAGTGAGATGTCAAAGAATTATCACCATAGTGACAGTGTTGTTAAAATATATAAATGTGTTAAATAAGCATGCAGTCTTCTTCAAATGTACACAAGTTTATGACAAAATATTTTAAATTAGAAATGATTAATAGAAAATTTGTATCAGTAATAAAACCAAAACCAATAAAATGACCCAAGGACTTCATCACGTATTGTAGATGTTCAGAAGGAAGTAAACAAATTTTTAATTTTAAGGGAAATCCAAGTAAAAACCCAAAAAATGTATTATTTCATATTACTAGAACAACTGTTACTTTAAAACAGTTATGTATATCAAATCATTGTGAGGATGTGGAGCAACTTGATTTTTCGAATTTTACTGTTGTGATTTACATGGTCATGGAGATCTCTTGACCAGTATCTGTCCACACAGGTGAAGGAGAGAGAAATGATAGTACATACACATATGTATGTGGTCATACTGTAGATGACTGCCCACAATAGAAGGGAACAAACTCTTATTGTTTGTAATTTGCACCAATTTTTGAAATTACAGTGAAAGGAGCTAGAAATTAAAAATACTTTTAAAATACGCATTATATGAAGTACACATTTGCCAAAACCAGATAAAAACTAAGCTCTGATGTAATAAGGTTTCCCGTCACTTAAAGCCCTTGACTGCAAAGGAATCGGAGGACTTCGGAATCCCTGAACAAATTTTGTTTTTTGGTTTGGGTGTTAGTGACATGAGTTGTACAATTATCAATAAAATCAGCAATCAAATATATGCATTTTACAGCATGTAGATTATATCTACGTTTATAAACTGTTAAGAGAATGAAATAAAAGTATAAAACTTGAATTCTGAAATTGGCTCTGTATTATTCCCTTAAGAAAGGGGAAAGAAAATACAGCTTCCAGACTGAGGCAAAAACATGGGATTGAAGAGCTAAGATACTCATTCAGAAGAAAAACTAGGGGTAGGCAAGTAAATTTATGCTAGGAGTTCTGAATTAATTCAGAATTCCATAAAAGTCCATGAGCTGGGTTTTATTTTCTATGACATAAATTGAGCTAGAGCAAATAAAATGTCTCAGTATCTAAAGTTAGTATTCAATGTATCTTCTAATCTCTAGATGTTTTTCCAAATACAGCTTTAGTTGTAATAGTTGTGGGAAATGCTTGAAAAAATCTTCTAAACATTTGAAGCTCCATATATCCTAATTTCCATAATATTGGATTTTTCTTATTCTCTTAATTATATCTTCCAATAAAGTTATCAGTCAGTTGTATGTTTTAAAATTATTTAATATCCTTTATCATGTGAGGACACAACAGTTGATTATAATATTTTAAATTCAAGGTTCACCATAGGAGACTATCCCAGTGTTCTGTTCTGACTTAAGTGCTGTGCAGTTCTCCATCTTTGTCAAACCTTCCCCTTGAAGGTACTCCACATTTTAGGAATAGGCTGCATTAGCTCTTGAATGGAGATAGCCCAAAGTAAAAGTTAATTCTCTTCAAAAATTTCATTTCCCCATTGATGAGATGTACTATTTTAAGATTTGCTTTTCTAAGTAATAATGTCCATGACCACATTGTTAAAATTGGAAAGATTTCAATCTAGCTAAGCCATATCATAAATACATGTTTATTAAGGAATTAAATGTAGCTGTATACTAATCTTCTAGAGGTGAGAATAAGTTTTAAAAGCAATTACTTGAATTACAGGAACATGCGTATTTCTGTTTATGTACTCAGTTCTAGAACCTGTTAGGCCAAGTGAATAATTTTTGAGAGAAAGAGAAAAGCCATTTTGTGATATTTAGAGTTGTCCTACTTAGAATGTTAGAAAAACAAATAGTATTAAAATAGTTCCTTACCCAATTTCAAAATATTGAGAATATTTTGAACTGAATACTTTAGCTATATTTATTTCTTTTAGAGCAAACTGTTTTATTGATTTTGTGATACCGTACATAAAACTAAAAACTAGAATTTGCTAAAAATTAAACTATATTTAACTGATTTTTATTTATTTTTTTTCTAACTAGGTCCTTTCTGATGTTGCTTGAGCTTGAGCTTACTCTTCTGCAGTTGATCCCATTCGTGTTTGCTATATATTAAGTCCCATGACAAAAGTAGAGTAATGTTCAGATCTTTTAGGCCTTTAATGTGGTACCAGGCAATATAGAAAAAAATGTACCTGTACATTGGATGATCTAATTCCTTTTCTTCTATTTATCAAAAACACTACAGATTTTATAGATAATCGTTTTGTAGTCATTGTCACATCTGTGGCTTTACTCTAAAGAACATAGTTGAGTTTTTGGAAAGTACAGGATTTACAAAATTTGGTCTCTTAATATTCATACATATGGATATTATAATTAATGAAGCAGGAAATTATTGGTATATAAAATGAATATTGTGGAAGTAATATTTCAAACATAATTGGTTTTTAAAAATAATTTGGTTTAGATATTTGGATTTTCTGTACGATAAGTTGATAATGGTTTTTTGAAGTTTATTTTATAAAGATGGACTAGTCCTTTTACTGTTTTATGATACCAGTAGTATTCTAATGTTAAATTTGTGTGTTAAGTTGTATAAATGTTTATATTAGTATTTAAATAATGAAATATCGGGCGGTTAGTTTACACCAAATGTTTTTGCAGTCTAGGGTAGATGTTTCTGCTGGTTTGACGCCTAGTACACTTTCAAAAGAAATAGAAATATGAATTCGCTGTTTTATCATTCTCCATGAATGTTCCTTAATGTCAGAACAAAAATTAAAAGAAGCCCATTGTAGAACATGAGAAATCAGAAGTTGTCTTTTTTTTAATTAAAAAATGCAAAACAATAGATATCTAAGAATGCATTCTAGTATTTAAGATCTCTGAAGCATTATGTCATAAAAAGTAGTATCAACTGATTTGCAATGGCAGTGAATGCTGAAACGATCTTTACCAGCATTAGAATATTATCACGACTTTGAATGTTAGAACATTATGTTAAACTGTGATTAGAGTTTTAATGCTTTGTCTCTTTCAATTAAATTTGTGTCCACAAAGATGTGCAGCATAATTGTTCATGTATTTATTTACAGACTACAATTTCCGTCGCAGCTCAATAAATAGTCTTTCCCCTGTTAGTGCCACCCTCTCTTCTGGGACTCCCAGCGTGCTTCCTTATACTTCAAGGCCTTATTCCTATCCAGGCTATCCCTTGTCACCAACCATATCACTTGCTAATGGCAGCCATGTTGGACAGCGACTATATATCTCCAATCAGGCCTCATTCTTCTGAAGAAAATATTGTAAACATTACTATGAAAGTTTCTTTGTAAAGGATGCAAATTAAAATTCTGTTCTACTTTAGAATCGGATTTCCACATTTGGTTTTAAAGAGATAAATATGTATTTATTCCAAGATAGTAACTGACAGCCATAATTCAGAGTAACCTGTGGTTCTTGAGCTTATATAAATGCACAGTTTAAAAAGTTATTCAATGGCTTCACTTGAGAACGGTGCAACAAACTACTATTCTTTTTAAACTTGGAATTTTAAATACTTCTGGTTTCTACATGAGCAGTAGAATCCAGTAAATTTGTTAAATTTCTGCATAATAACTTTGCTGACTAGCGTTTCACTAATATTAAAGCACCTGCAGACAGTGGTTATGCTAGATTTGATTACTAAGGATCACTATCTGATTCGAGATTAAAACAATGATCGCATCTATTATGCAGAAAGAAATGAAGGGCAAGAGATTAAGATGCATATTTTTGCACAGTATTAAAGTAGCATTCTACCATTGTGGTCCTTGAACATAACTAAAAATATTTTGGTTATTTGTTAATAGAAATAAATGATACTTTTGCTGTTAATGTATTTAAGGTTTTTATAGTTATGCTTCATTTATGTTTTTGATATTCACTGTATAGTTGTTTAATAACTGTTAATGTTTTTTAATGTTGAAATCATGTGTTGTTTAATTTTGTACTTGAATTCAAATTCTTTGACATTAAATATATGATGCTTCTAATATGGGTGTGTTCTTTTTATTTATACACAAAAAAGATTTATTTATAATCACTGTTACTTGAAACCAATTTTTCTTACTGGTATAGAGTTACAGGTTGTGTCTCATAAGACCAAAGAAGAAGTGTTCCAGACAAAATTTTTAGTTATATAAAATCACAGCAGTGAAAATTGTTTTCAGGGGACAGCAGAATTTGTTGATGTACCAGTGAGCCTAATGAAAGCACATCATTTTGACTTAATAGTTTAGCTTGTAACATAATCAACTTCAAATAAATACTCAATTGATAATCAAATCTTTCCACTATTTTTTTAAAATTGATGTGTAGCTGTATGGACATAGGATTTGCATAAGTAGTTGCAAAAGACCCCATACAAAGATTATATTGATGTAGCCAGATGCAGTACCTCATTTTCCGGGTTCTTGCTTTAGTTTTTATCATTTAAAGGAATAGTATTTTTCCTATGTGTGAATTACATGGAATTTACAATCTAATTAGTATGACACTAATTTAATTTAGTACTCCTTCCCCAAACTTAGAATGAGTGTTTGTCTGCTATTGTTGGTAATGCACTTGAGATTGCAAAGGTAACAGCGACTCCTAGTGAGAAAGAAATCAGACACATTGTTATATTTGAGATGGTCCAAATAATAATTTCAAGTTGCTAAGTAGTTTGAAAAGGATTTAAACAAGTAGCTTAACCAATCACTCAGTGTATCTGAAAACGAACAGTATATGGGAAGCATCAACTTTGGTATCAGATTTGATTTTTTTTTTGCATTAAATTTTATTTATTTTTTTTCCCTTTATTTTATTTTTGGTATCAGATTTACCAGTCTGCCAAATAACATCTCCTCTAACTTGGACACTGAGCCATATTTTTTACATATGTAAAATAAATATACCTTATAAAATAAAGATCAATAACAAAAAGTGGTAGCTGAAACCATGTGGGTGTAGCACTGCACTGTAACACTGGCCTCCCGTTTTTCATCAATTTGCTAGAGCGGGCACCAGTAACATCTCACAACAAATTGTGAGACTTGTTACTGTGTTTGGCATATCGAATACGTCACAGGTAGCTTGCCAGGCTTTGCCATGCGGGCGAGATACTCTCGGTAGCTTGCTGGGCTTTCTGAGAGGGGCGGAGGAATCGATCTTGGGTCGGCCATGTTGGCTGGTGCAAGGCAAACGCCCTACCCGCTGTGCACCATGTGGGTGTAATTAAAATATAATTGTACCATTTTTTTCATCTCTCCTGACTCTTCCAGCTGAAAAAAAATATTAGTACACTGATATTAAACATTGTCTTTTTCTGTGATCTTAGGGCTCAGAAGTAATTTTAGTGTACAGGAAATTTTACTTTGCTTGTAAACCTACCTATTAATTATTGTTTAATTCTTCTGGACTTTGAATTGAGGGCTTCCCTGGTCACTGGATCACAGCCTATGACTGATGCCTAAGCTGTCTGACAGAGCCCACTGTGCAGAGAGAAACCATTGGAAAGAGCCATTTATCAGATTTTTTTGGTGAGGTTTGTGCACAGGACAGTGGCCGAGATATGCAGTATCTCCCAGTATGTGTTTGGTTTCATGGTCCATCTTGCGTAAAGTCCTTTGTAAGGAGGAAGAGAGGTTGTGCAGAAGTTTTTATTTCTCTTATTTTATAATGTGGAGCAGGAAAGATTTCTCTAAAAATGGTTCAGAAACTACAAGTCATTATAGAAAAGTAAGTCTGAATTTTAACTCCAAATGCATTTATTGGCGGGTATACTCCAAAATGAAACCTGAGTATATTCATAATACAGTCATGTCCATTTCAAATTACTATAATTCTTGCTATTCAGACAAAAAATTGAGTCACTTTCATTCCTAGGTTTTTTATGTAATTGGTTTTTTAAATGAGACATAGATCTTTGAATTTATATTTTTGGCTCATTTTTAACATTCTTTTCACACCCCACCCTTTAAATGCTATGATTAAAGAAAATTTCTTCACAAAAAAAGGTATCAAGTGACTAAATAAATTACAAACTTTAACAGATTTCTGGAATTTCTAGAAAAGCCTTTCCATTGTTTGCAGTGGACCTTTAAGGGTGAAAACATCATTGTGTCTAAAAACCAAAATGTAAGAAATAGCTTATAATTTTGCAAGAAATCTTTTTCTTTTTTGGGTCATACCTGGCGATGCACAGGGGTTACTCCTGGCTCTGTACTCAGCGATTACTCCTGGTGGTGCCCAGGGGACCATCCCAGGGGACCATATGGGATGCTGGGAATTGAACCCAGGTTGGCCACATGCAAGGCAAATGCCTTACCCCCTGTGCTATTGCTCCAGCCCCTGCAGGACAAATCTTACTGTCTTGATATTTAATAACAATTTACAGTACCTGGCAGGCTGCCATCAGTTCATCTAAAAACTCATTAAGTTTGATATTGAAGATGATTAACCATGTTCTAAAATGTACCTACTATAAGAGGTCTTTTATTTACTCAAATAGTGCTTTTTATATTGTGTGTCATAAAATAATGTGAGATAGGAGTTGTTACTTTTTTTTTTTGCATGAGACTATCTCAGCACTTTCAGTATTTATTTGTTTCACTTTATACACCTAGATTTTGTCATAAATTAACTATACATGGAGACTTTCTGAGGCCAGCTGACAGGAAAACGTTGGGATTTAGTAACCTGAAAAAAATGGATGTCATCAACCAAATCTGATGTATGAAACGAGCAAAACCCACCAAACCACACATGATCTGTGCCTTCAGTGTAGGAAGAACCAGAACAACTATAAAGAACACAAATTTCAGAAGTTCCTCTTTGAACCATGATAAAAAGTTTATGAAGAAAAAGGAGTATGAAGTGGGAGTCCAGGTGCTAAGGGTGACCTAGCAATGTCCACACCAAATGGAAAAAAATCAAAACCCACAAATCCTGATACATACACGCATTTTTTTTTTGGTTGTTATTTTTTTAAACAGCTCTAAGGGGTATACCTGGCTATGTTCAGAGCTTGCTCCTGGCTTCCTGTTGAGGAATCACTCCTTGCTATGCTCAAGGAACCAGGATATGTGGGGCTGGAGATAAAACTTTGGTCGGCAGCATACAAGGCAAATGCCTTAACTCCTACGATATCTTCCAGGCTACAAGCAGTCTTAAAAGGCATTGTTTTGGGGAAAAGTTAGTCCACAGACCTATGCTATGCCCGTTTAGATCTGGGTATAAACAGGGAAAAAGGAAATGCAAAATCATGCAAGACAATCACAAAAACAAGTAGGCTCACAAACCCCCTAGCCCCTACCCCCCAAATTTCATTAAAAATTGTGTTTGCACTGTCAGAACAATGGGACAATGAACAGAGTACTTGCCTTGCATGTGGCTAACCTGGTTCCACTGCCAGTATGATCTTCTCTGTCTTAGCACAGAGTGATCCTTGAGTACAGAGCCAGAAGCAAGCCCTGAGCATCTCTGGGGATGGCCCAAAGACAAACCATAAATTGTATTTACTACTGAGAGAGGGCATTCTTGAATTTCACTTTTATGAACCACGAAAAAAGTGCTACCCTATCCATGAAATTAAAAGACAAAAGCAGTTTAGTGAGTAAACATTGTAGGTGGTGAACATTCCTTTCAGCAACCAATAACAGAAAACAGGTACACAATAAAACTAAACTGAAATATCTTCACAAAAACAATTGGGAATATGAGATGGGGAAAGGCCATCTTTATAAGCACTCTCAGTGGTTTTGTTGTGCTTTTGGATCATACCTGCTGATGCTTAGGGCTTCAGGGGACCATATTGGCTGCTGGAGATCGAATGTAGGTCTTCTGTGTGCAAGGCACAAGACAATTGCCCTATACACTGCACTATCTCTCCAATCCCTCAGTCTGAGAAATGTACTAGGTTAAAGAAGGAATTTTTAGTTAAGAGAAGACTAGGAAGGGCTGGAGCAATAGCCCAGCTGGCAGCGCGTTTGCCTTGCACATGCCCAACCCGGTTTTGATTCACAGCATCGCATATGGTCCCCCAGCACCGCCAGGAGTAAATCCTGAGTGCAAACCCAGGATTTGCATCGCTGTGCATCGCTGGGTGTGACCCTAAAACTAAAAGCAAAAAACAAAAGCACTGGGAATTTATTAACTGAAGCAAAGATTGCTAATATTTCACATATTGTAAGTTGAAGTATAAAAGGGCAAAGGTAGAATTACTTGCGTATTACATGTTTCAACAAAGTGAAATGATTCCAGTAATAGTGGGAGAAGGCAAGAGGGAAAGAGAAAATGGAAATGAACCCTTGGTCTCAAAAATTGGTATGTAGCATACAGAGGATGCTACTAGTTAGTGAACAAGCCAAATCCCAAAATGTCAAAGGCAGAAAGTCACAAAACTTCATAAAAGATGTAAATAAGATCATCACCAGGGCAAAAAACAAAAACCCAACTCATATTGGCAGACAACAAAATGAGCAGCAACTAAATCCTCAGAGTAGAACACGAATAACACCAGGTGGGGCAAGTTCATTGACTGTTCTTGCTACCTGGTGAGACACTTTGGATAGACGTGTGTGTTCGTGAGTAGGTGCCATTTTCTAGTGTCTAGACATTAGTGTCAATATTTACTTTCTGGGTGAGGGCAGTTGTAGCTGGTGTGATCAGAGCAGCACCCACAACTCTTCAGAGCGTGCCCTTGAACTGCAAATTCTGCCAGGTGTCTGTCCAGCAATTGTTTGAGCACTGTGTATTAAATCCCTTTCTGCTGGAGATACCTAAAATGGTTGGCTTCTTCCTCACTCAGGCAAGCTTGCCCTGTGCTGTCCTTGTGAGAGCAGTCGTTTCTAAGTTGGGGCTTACATTAATCAATCAGAGTCGCCACCATTTTGCTCTTTGTGCCCTGTCACAGAGGCAGGGTAGGAAGGGAGGATGGGGGGTGGGAGGGATACTGGGATCCATGGTGATGGGAAATGGGCACTGGTGGAGGGATGGGTATTCGATC